ATATTAAGACTTACATTTGTCTTCTTTCTTTGTTGCACCCGCGGTGTTTCTACTCATCTATCCTTGTCAAGGACCTATCCCCAAGTAGCATAGGAAGCAGAAAAAAAAACATTAACCACGAAAAATTAACCACTATTTGGTTGAATTTTACTTATACTTAACTTAATAAATTTCTTGTAGGGAATAAAGTGCGAGAAATCTAAAAATGAGGTCGTAAACTAGTTAATAATAACCTAAAATTTTATTATGCCTTTAAAAAGTAGCAGGGTTGGAGTTAGCTGGCATTGTTAAAATCTAGTTACTGATAACCTATTGAGGGAATTAAGACTACAGGGACTTAAAGTATGTCAAATGTTACTTTATTATAACCTCAAATTTGTCTCGGGGGTCGAATTTTGGTTTTCAAGTTAGGTTAAACTAAACTTAAAATCCGATGTTAACAACTTTAAATGAGACCTTATTTGGAGGAGTTCAAATTAGGTTGAAAATTTAATTTATTTCGACCTCATAAGTCGCTATTATGCTGCAAAGGTAAAAGTAACTTAGTTTTTTGACTTGGAAGAAAGTCAGACATACGGCAGGTTAAAAATTACCCTTTTTAATTTCCTCGGTGCGATTTCGGTTTAAAAAAGTTTTCGGATGGATTATTACGAATATTAAGAATATTCAATGAGTTTCTTTTTTATTACCGTCACAATCTTAAACGTGTCCATTATGTGCAATAAAAACAAAAAGCCCTTTGTAATAACAATCACAATCCCAAAACACAAAACTTTTAAAAATAGTGAGCAAAGAAAACTAACTCAGTTTTCTAGTTAGTGTTCTAGTTTAGACCAGTTCGGTAATTGCATCGGCCAGCAAAAGGATAAAAATTTGACATGTCACGTACGTGACTCTCAATAAAGATTCTCATTTTAGGACACATCATTACTGTCAAAAGTTAATCGGATTCTTTGAATAAGAAGACTAAGGAAGGAGCATAATGCTATCCATGTATTCATGCATGGTGGGCGGAAAAAGCACCATAAAAGCACTCTAGGGTGGGGATCCTTGACAGTTCTGTTTGACGATTCATTTGACACATTTGAATTTGATTTGAAATTTTGTGGATTTGTCAGCCTTTACGGAGCTTATTTTATGTTATTTATTATTTATTCTACTACTGATAGTTGTATAAAGGTAGTAAATCTAGATGGAAATTGTGGCAGAACTTAAATTAACAGTGACACTATCGCGATTTATCGAAAAAAACTCTAAAATAGTTGGTTGTGTAGCGTGCGGTAGCTCTCTGCAAAAATTGAGTGAAATAATGCAACAACTTTTCGCTAGTAAGTGACTATATAATATACATACGTGTAGTAAACCGATCATTTATGAAATTCACTTAAATTAACTAAATTATATATTTTTCTTGCATTTCAGCTTTTATTTACTACTTGTCAAAGATCAGATGTCAAAGAATTTTGACACGTTAATTTGACTTACCTGCTTCAGTAGCGTATCGGATGTTTATGTTAATAAATACTTATTATAACTTATCTATTTTTATTTTTATAACAATTTTAATAACTACCAACATTTATTCACAACATAAAATAAAATAACAAATTATTGAGTCTACCCCACGTCTACCCTACATCATAGTTTTACATTTTTTAAATAAAATTAGAACGGCACTGATAAACCGGAATTTAAGTCGGCCATATTTGAGGCCCATCGCGGTGTACCTAAGATTTTTGATAATATGCTCCTTCCTTAGTCTTCTTATTCAAAGATCGGATTGCTCGAAGATGTAATTACCGAACTTAGCATTAATTGTCATTGGCAACTGTCACTGTCACTCAAAGAAAATAAAAGTTTTCTGTTTTACCGGCGATACTCCAACAATGTAGTCAAGGCTTCGAGAAATGGAGAAATGAGCTTCCACCTAATATAACCCATTTTTTAACTTGCACCTCGAAGGAAAATAGCTTAAGCAAGAAATCTTGACCTTTGAGGTTATTAATTTAAAGAAATCTTAACCTCATACAAAGGAAGCGGACTTTAAGGTTTTAAAATTATGGAAAACCTAACTTCACAGACGAATAGTTAAAAACACCATTAACGGCCATTTTCTTGTCCAATTTGTTTTCAAAAAATATTTTTTTGTGATATTGTTATAAACTATTGAGAAAAATAAACAAACGTTTATGAGTAATATTACCTACCAGAAGTTAAATTAACTAATTAAGAACTTTAAAAGTGTACCAAGGAAGTTAGCTGAAAAAAAGTTAGATTAGAGCCTTGAAAATAACGATTTATTCTTAAATTAATTGTTGAAAATACATAAAATTTTAATGGCGCATAATTTTTTAGGGCCTATATGTAGGTAAGTGCATATATGTAGGTATTTCATCCATATTGGATTAATGTTCAAACGGCCATGCCAATTATTACACTTGTTTGTCTTCCTGGTTCATTGTTGGGAAATTCATTTACATATACATATTAAAAAGAAAAATACTTTATCTTATTCTTTCTCTTTCTTTCCCATGTTAAAATGTAGGTAGTACAAATTAGGACTATTTTTAGTAAAATTCACCTCTATTTTACAATGTTATGACCTCAGGTCGGTTATTTTTGACTTCATAGCCCATATTTCATACAAGAAATCATAACCTGTTAATCTGTTTTTAACTTCCAAATTACTTTAGTTTTATTCCCCACTTTGGGAATTTTAACGTCAATTCTTGGAAATTTCGACCAATTTCCAGTTGGTCCATAATAGTCCTGGTGGTTAATTTAACGTAATTTTACCTTCAAATGTTTATTGGGTATCGTCTACGCGCCAAATTTGAATATTAATTTTAAAAATTTAATTTGTAAAATGTATATATTTGAACAATAAATTGAATGGTTACACAAAAACTTAAATTAAAAAAAATACATTTACCCACTACAAACAAATATCGATATTCTTAAGAAATCTAGCTAGAAAGTATGCGTGTGGTTTAAAATAAATAAAAGGACAACTGAATATTACTTGCCTATGAAAAGATAATTCGAGGACCTTTATTTTAGAACTTCCACATACCAATGAGCCATACCATTTTTATGAGTATTTAAAATGTCCAATTTTATTCCAGTGAAGAAAAAGTAGAAATATAATTGCACAAACTTGAAATTAACGTTTCACTAAACACACTTGCATCATTGGTTATTATAAAAGGCATATACTAAATGGCTTACTAATTTTTCTCATTTGTTTTCCATGTTGTTAACAGGAAAAAGGCCTTATATAGCATTAACCCCTCTTCATGATGGTTTTAATTTTTCAGTCGAATTAATATTTTATTTGGTTCTGCGCGTCTTTTCGAAATGCACTCTGTGAAACGCGAACAGCGAGGCGGAGGCAAATTAAAGGGAATAACAAAAGTGGAAAAGCCCCTTTTTACTGTGAAAATTTAGAGACTGTAAAATTCTGTTACATTATGTCGTCTTTGGAAGGCAAGGCCACGTTATCTGCCAAAAGAGGAATAAAATTTTCTTCCTCTAATTTTCTCTATGTTCGGTTGTTTGTCGCTTTGGCGGAGTGCTGGTTTTGATATGGTTGATACCTTTATTGTTTATTCTGAAGTGCTTCCTTTATAACGTGAGTTAAGAAATTTTAGCTCATTTTGATAAAATGACTTTCTTACTAATTAACCTGTGTCTTCTAGTTTACATAGCTCAATAAATTTAGATTTGTTCAACAAAAAAATATTTTTTCAGATAAAACAACGGGATTTGGTATGTAAGTATATGACATAAATTAGGATTGATTGAGGGTATTCAATTGTTTTTGGCCACTTCCTGTTACACCTGAAATGACTACAACTTTTGATTTTTAAATGGCACCCTCGGTATTTTTTTACGTTAGTCGATAGAAAATGTCGCTCTGAATAAAAAATGACATATCACATCTCAACTTTTCACATTTTCGCTTTAAAAAAAATGTATTTTAAATTTTAACTTAGCGTGCCATGGCTGTGTTAAAAACAGTCATTTTTAATCAAGAAGCCTTGAAAAAATGGATTTGATCGTCTAGTGTTTTTCCTGTTTTTTGTCCTGGCGGGTTAAAAGATGCCCAAATCGTATTTTTAATCATATCTCAGTTTTTTCAAACAAAACGAGTGTGGCTCATTAGCATATTCGGAAAAAGAATTATTTTACGAATAATTTGGTACCATAGAGTTGGTATTTCGAGTAAAATTGTCGTTATGATTCGCATGTTACAATTTTCAAATAAACCATATGAGAAAATGTCAAAAGTTGACATATGATATGTCATTCTACTCAGAATGTCATTTTCTATCAAATTAAGTAAAAAAATACCGAGGGTGACATTTAATAATCAAAAGTTGTTGTCATTTCCGGTGAAACAGGAAGTGACCAAAAACAATTAAATACGTCAATCAATTCTAATTTATGTCATATACTAAGACACCAAATCTCGTTTTTTATATGAAAAAATAAAAAAGTGATAGGGGGTGAGCCACTTTTGATTCGAACCCGGTATAGTCTTCGTCTCTCATCGATATTTTAAATACGAGGTGTATTTGCGCACGTCTCAATCATGAAATTTTCGTAAATAAGTATCTAGTATAGACCAGATTTTTAGAAGTCAGAATCTACACTCTGTTTTGAATATGCAAGATACAGTTTTTATTATCGATTCTGGTGCGACTAGCGCGTCGTTCATTAAAAGCTCTAGGAATCGTGGACTTTTTAACCATACACATTCTAAAGAGAACTCAGTTTTACTCCAAGCTATTTTTGATTTGATAAAATACTACAGTCAACTACAGCCCAATCAAGAATATGTTTAATATTATCTTCTTTTTCTTCTTGCAATAGGTTATCCCTGTATAAAACAGCTAGTTAAGTCTCTTGTGAGCCGGATGTCTAGCTGTCGTACTATCTTTTTGGTGGCCTACCAGGTGGTCTAGATGTGTTGGGTATTTGTGTTCGCGCCCATTTTGCTATTCTATCGTGGTCCATTGTTTCAACATGGTATTCCCAATGACGCCTTCTTGATCTTCCCACCTGACTATGTCTTGTACTCCTAGTTCCTCTCTGGTGTCGTTGTTTCGCATTCTATCTCTTAGTGTGACTCCGCGTATACTTAATACTTTCATTTCTGTTGTTCTGAGTATTGTCTTTGTTTTTGATGTTTCGGCCGAAGTTTTTCTAGAATAGGCTAGAACTGGTCTAACACAAGTCTTGTTTGTGCTATCTTTACTTTCCGTTGACATGAATTTATTTCTCCATATGATATCTCTTAAGTAGCCAGATATTCGTGCTGCTTTGTTTGCTTGAACCCTTGCTTCATCTGAGAGATTTCTGTTACCAGAGATATTTACGCCCAAGGAATTAAATTTGGACACTTGGTTAATTGTTGGATCGTCAACTACGAGTTTGCATCTGATTGGTTCTTTCGCTATTACCATTGATTGCTTTTTTCCACGGATATCTGCATGTTGAGAGATTCAGCTTTATTTGTTAGTCGGTAAAGGAGTCGCTGTAGGTCATCCTCGTTCTCTGCCATCAATCCTAATACAAAGCTCCCAAGCAGCATTTGGACGTCGGGACAACGTTGTGTCACGCGACCAAACGTCGGGGCGCAACGTCGGCACAACCTCGTGCCAACCCTAGTCTGCACTAGTTTGGAGAATAATTTTTGGGTCGAAACGACGTTGGATACCGACGTTGGCTAGAAGCCTAATTTAGTACAAACTGCAACGTTGTTTAAAATCCTAATTCACAGAAATACAAAACTAATATGGCGTCTAAGCGCGTTTTATCCTAAATTGGGATAATTATAGTAAAAATATTATTTTTATGATTTAGTTAGAGACATATGTCAGATGGCAGTGAAGGAAAATAAAACAAAAGTATTTAAGTGTGGAGGATGTTTGAAGATCATAATTATTGAAACACTTTAACCGACTCTGTAACTCGTTACCCAAGGCAAAAAGTTAAACGCAAACAACTTTATTGATAAATGTATTGTTTCTACTTTGAAAAATACTAATGGGCCTTAAAATTAAAGAAGTTTTAAAAAAAAAATTTGAAGTTTTTTTTAGTAAAATGAGAATAATTTATTCGCAGTCGAAAAAATTGTTTCCGCGTGTTTTTTAGGGTCAAATATTTCAAGTTAATGTATTCAAAAAGCAGGAATTGCTATTTTAGGAAAATGGATGATGAAACATTTTCTTATTTAACAACATGGCGGCTTTCACTTTGTTGTTTTGGAGATTAAGATGGAGTAGTTCGAGTAGTCGCATACTGGACTAATAAAGTCGCAGTTCGGCCTTAACAGGTAGTATATTAGTCGCAAGATTGCCTAATTTAGTCATCTTAGAGTCTAGCTTGTGCCGCCCTCTATAATCTAAATAAACGAGGGAGTGGATAAACATCGGTAATATATGTCGATGTATATTTAAATTTAGTTTTATATGTACCTTTCTTATGTCCCATTTTAATTAAGTTTTTTTTATAAAAACAAAAACAGCACTGAACTGTCTGACTGAACAGAACAATGAAGTGAAAATTTAAGATTTAAGGTTATGGTTCAATACAGTTGCAAAAAGGTAGTGACTCGACGTCCTACCAACGTAAGAATAAGGAAATCTAAACAACGATGGAATTAGTAAAACAGACGACGTTTGCATAACGTTGGAATAGGTCCTGAAACTGACGTCGGAAAACTCTATATTGTCCAACGTTGTAACTACGTTGTCCGAATCACCTAAAGATCACTTAAGCAAAAAAGGTTACAAGACGACGTTTATTCGACGTCACAGAAGCTTCTACTTTGCTGTAGTACTAGTCCAACGTCGGCACAACGTTATAAAAACGTTTAAATTTATTTTAATACCCAAGGTAGGGAGCTAACTATTTTTTGTAACTAATCCAACGTTGTGTTTAGTAAACATGTGGTCGCAAGTCGTGAAAATGCTACTTGGGCTAAATTAACTTATAACTTTTGACAAGCAGCGTCCGTTTAGGTTTAACGCAGAAGTGTTTACAAAAAATAATTATTTTATTTTGTAGATTTTCTTGCAGTGCAGTGGCAACATACCCATAAAGGATTTTTTTTGAAAGCTAAATTATTTTTACGTTACGAAGTTAAATTATTTTCAATAATTTTGAGTGAGTTTGATTGCTTTCCAAGAATTTTTTCTAAATAATGTCTACACCTTCCATTCTGAACACATTTTAGATACATACTTTGCCAGACACTAAAATCGTAAAAGGAAAATGGAACGACCGAGTGAACAACAGAGATGGAAAATCGCTTTTACTGGGAAATTTTAGAGATTGTAAAAATTATGTGACGTTATGTCGTCGTCGATAGGCGAGTTCTACGTTATCACGCTAGGACGAATAAAATTTTCGGTGTTTAACTTTATGATTTTGCGCTAGTTAGCTTTGTGGTGAAATTTTAATATTTATGATAATTTTTCATTTTATGACTTCTGCTAATGTCGAATTATTTTTTAATATATTTCTTTACCATTACAATGATGTGCTACAATAAAAAAAAAACTTTTTAGAGTACTATAATATCTTACAATCGAGTTAATTGATATTGAGTATTGAGTGTACAGGGTGTTCCATTTCAGTGTGTTTTACAGAGTTACCCGTTTATGAGTAGAGGTCCTGGTCATGAGGTTCACATTAATCACTTTGCTATTTTTTTATGAAACTATAGATGACTACACACAGATTTGTGTGTACCTAGCCCACTTAGTTCCTGAAATACAGGGCGAATTTATTCAACTCCTCTCGTATCTCGGTTATCTTATCACTCATCACTCTCAGAAAAGGTGAAAACTAGGTTAGGGCTAACTAGATTTTTGCTGGGAGCTGTCATTCTTTAAATATGACCCAAATTTATGTTTTTTAATTGGATACCCTCTCGGATACCCTATATATTATTTTATAATGGAAAATAAATTTCTTGCAGTTTTTAGGTACCTATATAATAAAATGATATAAGAGTTTCTTGCCTTGAACTGCTAATATAGAAATTAATTCCACGCTGTGTTCGTCATAATGTGGATCAACGTGCTCTCACTACCGGTTTCGCAGCCCTACCCCATCATCAGGTGAGCTTGAGTATTTCCACAAAACACACAGGCCGCTATCTCGCGATGCGGGACTTAATATCTTACCGCTACTTTACGACAAGTCGTATGTATATCCTCTGCGCTGTGCTCGTCGTTTTGTGGAAATACCCAAGCTCACCTGATGATGGGGTAGGGCCCCGAAACTGGTAGTGAGAGCAGGTTGATTCACATTATGACGAACACAGCGTGGAATTAATTTCTATATTAGCAGTTCAAGGCAAGAAACTCTTATATAATTTTATTATATTATTTTATTGTTTCAAAAATATACTTTTTAAACCTCACAAATGTATTAATTTTTGTCACGCGAATGACAGTATAAAAAAATAACTTTAACGCCTAGGCATAAAAGTGAAGTACTTTTACGCTTAAGCATAAAAGTACGCAAAAATATATTATTATTATTTATATATGTATCGTACGGTGTAGACGTTTATATGTATTGTACGATGTATGTATGTTATATATGTTTGTTGTTATATATGTATGTTATATATGTATGTATTCTGTATATATACTGTATATGTATGTTATATATGTATTGTACGGTGTAGACGTTTATTTTTAGTCTCCGGCTATTTTTTACAGTTTTATAAGTATCAAGTGAAGAGAAAATAATGAAAACTTTACAGTGAGTTATTTATTTTAATACGGTGTACATTAGAGTAACAAAAAGTTTCGGAAACAGTTATTTGATCAAGAAAATTGCATTATTGCATTGGATATATTTAAATATAGCACTGAAGAATTTAATATAAAAATGGTTTTTACAATAAGACAGAAAAACGAGTTTAAAGAAATGCTAATGGAATTTTTTGGCGATAAGGAATTCCTCACAACAATAGCAAATACACTGGCCGATACAATTGCTGAAAAATTTAACGATAAATTAAATACACTGTCAAAACAAGTTAGCGAGTGTGAAAAAAATATGAAATCACTGCAGGCAGAAAATAATGAACTTCAGCGAAGAATTGATGACCTGGAGCAGCATGAAAAACTGAAAGGGTTGAGAATATATGGCTTTCGTGAAAATGAAGTCAACAGCAATGACTTACAAGTAAATGTTAAGAATATGCTTAAGTCTAAGATCGGATTTGATAACTTTGATTTTGAAGCCTGCTACCGTTTAGGAAAAGTAAATAACCAACAAAGAAAACCAAGAGCAATAAAAATTATATTTAAAAATTTAAAGCAACGTGACGAAGTTTATTTCAACAAGAGAAAATTGAAGGGAACAAAAATAGTTATTTTTGAAGAACTTACTAAATCTAGACAAGCAATACTTGCATTGGCAAAGGAGAAAATTGGAAATAAGCAAGTTTGGTCCAATCAAGGGAATATTTTTACACGCATAGGAGATAAGGTTGTACACTTGAAAACTGAGGATGATATTTTAACTAATGTTAACTAATGTCAGGGACTATCTTCTGTTACTGTAAGATTTTTTTTTTCTATTATATATTTCAGACATAGATGAAAAATATTTCTTTTGCTTTTTTTAATGTTAGATCATTGACGGGATACTTATCAGCTGTGAAAGATTTGCTTTCTGTTTGTAATTTTGATTTGTTAGGAGTTTCCGAGACTAGGTTGGCTAACGGCGCTTTAGATGAATACTATAAAATTGACAAATACATTCTACTTCATAAAGAACGATCTAGTGGTACCGGCGGCGGAGTAGGTATTTATGTAAAAGAAAATTTAAAATGTGAGTTGCTGGTAGCAAATTGTTCAGAAATATTAGAGGAGGTATGGGTGAAGGTAGAGCTGGATGGCAAGCAATTTTTTTTTGGTTCACTGTACAGAACACCGGGCTTTTCAAACTTTGATGCATTTGTAGATTGCCTCGAGGAGCGTTTTTCAGTTTTTTCAGTTGGTGATATTATATGCGGTGGTGATCTGAATATAAATTTATTAGATTCTAATCGTTATTGTGAAAGGTATTTAGATTGCATGGATTCGTTCAATTTAAAACAGGGCAGTAACGAATACTAGTGCAACGCTGATTGATCATATACTTCTTCCAGCTAATGTTGATAATTTTAAATGTGATATAAAGGATCTCGGGGAGGGGATGTCTGATCATGCAGTGGTGTGCTGTGAGTTGACTGGTGATGCGAGTGTATCAAAAACAAAAGTTATATTCCGCAATTTAAAAAATATTGATAAGGATTTGCTGGAGAATATGTTGGCTCTCACTCCATTTGAAAATATTGTTAATTTGACTGATATTAATCAAAAAGTATATTTATTTAATATAATGTTGTTAAATTTATTTGACGTTTTGGCTCCCAAACGCGATAAAATAATTG